AAAAAAAAAAGCAATTTTTTAATTTTCAATCATCGTTTCTCTCGTTCTCCTTTTATACTCACTTCTTCAGGTGTTTGAAGAGCGCCTGTATGGTGTCGTGGTTAGGCCGTGGCAGTTGCTTCATCAAATCCTTAACTGCCTGAACTTTCTGCTTATAATCAGGCATTTCTACACAGAAACACAACAGTTACATGTGTGCAAAACATCTCCCTCTAAACACTAGTGTCAAACACTGATCTCCACTCACTGATAGCAGTGATGAAGTTGTTGAAGAAAGCGTAGGGGAACAGCGGTTCTGGTAGCTCACGGAAAAACATCTTCAGAGCTCCAGTGGTCACGTGAATGTCTTCCCATTTACTGTCCTCTAAATCCACTTTCTCATCTGTATTTATGTAGATCAAAGTGACACAAATCATGTTTTTTTTTAAATACACATCAATAATGATCTGTTTCGTATAAATCAGTATGGGTTTAAAAGGTGGCAGGGCGTACCGTGATTAACAGCAAATCTCAGTTTTTGTATAATGGCCAAATTTCCACTGACTCTGTACAAACCATCCACTCCTAACCCTGAATAAAGAAAAAGAGAAAGAAATGACACGAATTACAAAACATTGGAATGCATGTTAGAATGCAGGTCATAGCAGCGAGTATCAACTCATCCAGTTTACTTGCACATCAATATTGTGATATTAAGCAGTGTCATTTTACTATCATTGATACTCTGTTATAGTTTTTGTTAATATTTAAAATTTTATTTTATTTTTATATTTACTGTTTTCACTTTAATGTTAAAATGTTTAGTAATTTTGTTGTCATTTTGATAAAAAAAATTTTTTTAAATGTGTCTATAGTTTTTATTTATTTTTTAGTTTATTTAGTTTTAGCTATTTTATTACTTCAAGTTAAACTAAACAAAACAGAAAAGTTGCCTTGGTAACAGCTGAAATAAAATAAGTTTAATATTTTTAATATATGATTTTATTTCAGTTAATGTTTATTTTAAGTAACAAAAATATTAATTGTTTTAGTTGACTATGATAACACCCTTTTAATATTATTATTAAAATAAATTGAAAATAATGCATATTATTATTATTATTATTATTGACTGCACAACCTTTTCCGTTTTGTGGCGGTGTTGTTTGAAACTAATAATAACTCAGCATACTGTACAATTAATGACAGTACTAAATTACCCAGGAAATAAGAGTGGGAAAGAAAGTGTGCATGTACAGATTGGCAACTACAACAACCATGTACACAGGAATATTAAGGTGGAATTTGATGTGCATGTAACCTATGATAGTCAGTGACAAGGGCTGAAAATAGTAATTAAAGTTTTATTAAGCATTAACATTCAAAGCTGGGGTGAGAGTAAATTTAGGATTTAGATTGTCAATATTCAGCTGCACATGGACTGAACAGAAGAGTACCGTTCTTCTCCACCTGCTCAATGCACATCGAGACAAAGTGAGGGACGGTGGAATTCTCTCTTTGACAAAGACTGCTCAAACTGGAGCCAAACACCTGATCTACAGAGAGAGAAACAATCAAACAATAAAAGTCTTTGAATTTTACCAATAACTCTGTGTCCACCCAGTTCTGTGTGTAGGTACCTTTAATGTAGCCCTTGTCTTTGACGGCCTGTAAAGTGGGTCTGCCTGTGAGGAGCTTCATCAGCTTGGTCTTCTTCTTCTGCTCTGCATTATCCATGCTTACGGATTTCTTAATATCTAAAGCATCATGGGAAGAGAAGTCTATGTAAGGAATGGTACACAACTCCAGGTGCACTGGACTGAATATATGAGTGGGCTGTATCATAAATAAATCACCCACCGCTGACTATGTTATGCATTTTTATTCTTATTAGAGTATTGTGTTGTTAGCTTAGCAATACACTAGACAGCTGCCTAGGGTTTGAAACAGGTCTACAGAATCATTCACATAGGCACACACACACCTCTGCCCTTCTTGGAGTTTCTTTGCTCTTTTTCTTTGTCATGTTTCTCAGTGTCAGGAGATTCTGGCATGTCTTCTTCAATGGCCTCATCAGACTCCCA